TGACTCCATGAACCATATTGCGCCAGGCCTTCCTGTCCTTCACTGCCTCCCTGAGTTTGCTCAGTTTCATGCTCAGAAAGGGTCAATACTTGAGGAAAACTCTTTCATTACACTTTTGTGGGTGCAAACTGAGAAGTTCAGCAAATTTCTTGGTTTTCCTTCTCTTTTCTATAGATCAACCAATTCAGTATGCATGTTCTGATTTTGAAGATGGAATTGCAAAGTTGACTATTCAAGATGCTTTACCAGAAGATGATGGAGTATATACTTGTCTGGCAGAAAATACTGCTGGAAGAGCCTCCTGCTGTGCTCAGGTTACTGTTAAAGGTAAGTATTTATGAAGATAAATGCTTAGCTGATCTACCCTTTGAGGACTGAACTGGAAATTTTAGTTACTTTAGTTTCTCTTTGTTGATGAGAATTTTTTTTTTACTATGCCTTTTAATCAATGGAAATACAATCGGTGGTCATTGATAAACTGATCTTGTTTTATCTTTGATAGATATATCTTCTTATGTCTTAATCTGCTTATCCACTAAGAGGCATATTTGAGCTGAGTGAGAAGTTTTATGTGTCCTACTGCCTTAAAAAGCCCCTACCCATGTGTTTGAGCTTTCCTTAGTAGCATGATATCTTTTAATCAGTTTGAAAAACATTAATGAGTTATGTATCAGTAAATTATAGGAAACCACAGTTGTTTTCCTCAACTGGAATTGTTTCCTTCTCTACTATTATTCTGGTTCCCTTGCTGATTAATTCTATAGCAAACTTCCTTAGTCTGATGTCCTTTAGTTATTTTGGAACTTTAAATCCCCAAATTTCCAGTCAGCCTTTGGCAATGTTGGCTAGGGATTCTGGAAGCTGTAACTCCAACTCCAGTTATACAAGAGTGTGTCTGATTGAAGAAGTTTATTCTGCAGGGATAAATTACAGTACAGAAGAGAGAGATAGGAATGATAATTTAAGGAAGCATGAATCACCTCCAGGTGAGAAGACCTAACTAATGAACCCCTTTACAAGTCCTCTTTTAAAATTCCTGTATTCTGTGGGCTGACACAGTAAGTTTTAATTTCACGTATATCTTAATCTTCAGGCAATCTTCCATCCAGACTCAGTCTAGGCAGAAATCTGCTTAGCTTCAACAATATTGCAAAGTAACATACACTCAGACTATTTTAATTATGATTCCAACTATCCATTGCTGTTTTGAATGAATGTACATTCCCTACATAGCTCCAGTGAAGAAACAGAACAAAGCAGTGGATCAGGAGTTAGCAAAATAATAGAGTTTTAGTATCTCATTTAAAGACATTTGCACATAGCACCATTCTTCAAACTTTGCAAATCCCTTTGAAGCTCTTCGTGTTATTAGCTTTACTCCTGCAGATCTCAAAATACAGAGAATTGCTAGGAAATATCATTAGCCAATCAGTGCTATTTCTCCAGTAGAAGAATACAAAAATATCATTTCTTCAGTGTACTGCTCCAAGCTACTGAAGGTCCAAGAACAACAAAAATACCTTCAACCCTCCAGTCCACGCAAAAAACAAATAACATATATTTCTAGCACCTCCCACTGCCACATTTTTAGTACATGTTATGCGCGTTCACCAAATAAATAAGTAAATCTGAGGGTGTGTAACAGATAAAACTGTCTGTCTGTCAAACTGTATTGAAAATCCAGTTGAGAGTCATGATTGTGGCATGATATGCTATTAATTTTGTATTTGGGCATTTTCACCAAAGTCTTTACTCATGGTTGCAGGCTGCATCAGTAGTTAAGATGGGGGAAAAGGAATAAGTTCTAAATCTAAACAATACCCACAGACAACTACCAGGAACAGGATGTTGAAGTTTGCTGCAAGACCTTCTCCCTACCCCACTAGGCAATCAAAATCCTGTTACTCCACACAAAAAGGGAACAGATGAAATTGATAGCATCCTCAGTCAACAAGGCAGTAGCTGGGAAAAACTCCAAACAGTTAGTTTGTCCCCAGCTGAAGAGCCGGGGGACTCAGAGCCAGAATCTTTATCAGTTTCATTTCCTACTCTTTTCTCCAGTTGTAAGATCTGCAGAGAAGCCATGTTCACTAGAGCCATTCTCTGTCTGTCTGTCTGTCTGTCTGTCTGTCTAATTAATTTATATAGCTGCCCATCTCACAGATGTGACTCTGGGCAATGTACAATAAAATAATCAGTTAAAACAAATTTAAAGCAACAATTAAAAGCAAATTAAACACAAATATAAATAAGATAGTGAGAGAATGGACCAGCATCCTACACACAGTATAACCATCTTGCAGGCTCCCTATTTTCCTGGGATCCCCAAGCCTGATTGAAGAACCATGTTTTGAGGGATTTCCTAAATGTCAATAGAGTCAGGGTTAATCTTACCTCGGGGGGAATGATGTTCCAGAGGGTGGGTACCACAGCAGAAAAGGTTCCTGGGTCCCGTCAGATGGAAGTCTTCAGCAGATGGGACCCGTAACATGCCCCTCCTGCTAGATCTGATGGAACGGGTAGATGTAACTGGGGAGACGTGGTCCCTCAAATAACCTAGTGCAATGCCATGTAGGGCTTTAAAGGTTAAAACCAGCACCTTGAATTGAACCCAGAAGCAAACCAGCAACCAATGCAGGTTGCCAAGCGGAAGTGTAGCGTGTGCCATTCTAGGGGCACACATAACTGCCCATGATTCCATGTTTTGCACTGGTTGAAGCTTCTGACCAACATATAGAATCTTTTGCTTCCTATTTAGCTGTCTCACGTAAGCAGTCCATTCTATCTCTACCTTTTTGGTTTACTAATGATGCAAGATAGCATCGATAAACAATTTGATGTCCTCCAGAAGTTTTGGATTACAACTCCCATAACCCCTTTTCATCAGCCATGCTGGCTGGGGATGATAGAAATCGAAATTCAACACTTCTGAAGAACACCAGGTTGTATACTCCTAACAAATAGGTTATGATGAAGCAAATAATCTGAGGAAGGTTACCTGGCACTAAATGACTTTAAAGTGGTCCCACATACCTTTTCTCCAGAAATCCTTTGGAGCTTTTCTCTTTAAATTTTATTATTAAAGAGAACAAGAACTATTGAACCAAACCAAGCGATTTTGACATTAACTGTCTTGTGAAAGGATTATCTAAGCAGCTTGTAAAGCAAATGGAAAATTACATTTAAAAAAAGAGAGACAAGCATGTCTTTATAAATTCCACTGGATTATGTGATCAGGTTTGAAAACTGAAAGCATATTATCAGCACAAAAAGAGATGTTCTGTCAACTGGGTATAGAAATATCTTGAATATAGAACATTCCCCACTCCTGTTTTGCTACTCCTGGGAATACAGCCCGCCCTACATTACATGTATGTTAAGCTTGCCTTCCAGAGAAGAAGAAGGTGCTATTGGTAAGAGGAAAAATGGGTTCTCAGGGACTGAGATGAAGCCTCTTTTGGAAGAAGTTGTGTTCTCCTGTAAGAGTAGGTTTGTGGTTAAGGATTGCTCCCTGACCTCCAGCTGCCATTGGATTTGCAGGGGGCAACTATAGTGAGGTGCATCATATTTGCAGAAGCAACAGCTGCAATCCTTTCTGAGCTGGTCAGATTTAGCAGTAGTCACATACCGGCTCTATTACTTCAGTGCAATCCAATTTATGTGGGGCTAGACTTGAAAAATGTCTGGAGATTGCTGTTAGTGGAAAATGCACAGCCAGGCTGCTTACTGGAGTACAGGATCACATGAAGTTTATACTGAAAGACCTGGACTAGCTGCTTATTGCCTCTTGGGCTCAATTTAAAGTGATGGCATTGACCTTTAATACTGTAAACAGTTTAGATCCTTATTTTCAGAAGGACTGCCTCTTTCTCTATGAATCTTTCCATTACTTAGATTAGCAGAGGAGTCCCTTCTGAAGACCCCCCTCCCCCCAGAGCTTTCTACTGTGTGCTCCCAGGTGGTCTAGCTTCATATCAGAGCTTGGCTGTAAATCTCAGGTCTCCAGACATTTAAAACCTTATTCAGGAATGGGTGTACTTGGTAGAAGACTCTCAGGTATGGCTCAACTAGATTAAACTCTCTATTGTGGACAACAATGATGCCATATACAGAGAGATTTTTTGCCCTCTGCAGTGTAAAGAAATCACAATCTTTATATAGGTCTGTAATCCAAAGTTTAGGCTTTAGGCTCTTTTGTCCTACCCTTCTGAGCTAATGGATGCATTCACTTGGTGACATTGGACAGTTCAGACGTGTTTAGATAATGGTCCTCTCTACCCTGGGAACTGCTAGGTACTGCTTTCCAGATTCAGACCTTACACAGGCTAAAGAATGTACCCTTCACAGATCTGAACTGAATAGGAGATACTCATTTTTTGAGAATTTATTAGGTGTGTGAACAAAAAAGGAAGAGTATGCTTTGCTTTTGCCTGAAACAAATGCATTATGGCTCAGAACTCTGTCCATACTGTTCTAGACAGGTTGCAATCTAGCAAACCTAAACCTGAAACATTTTGGTTATTCTGAGTTTTGACAGAAACAAACTCCAGAGAGGTCTTGCAGAATGTGTAGGACAAGGCTAATGCGCCTTGCTCTTCATTCCCTTCCTCTTCTGCATGACTTGTACACCAGCCTGCCAGCTGATCTTTCCAGCACCTTTCTTTCTCCCATAGCTGCTGCTCTTCAATTCAAGCATGGTATGTGCAGCCAATTTGCCTACCCCTCATCCTGATTTGCCCTCATCTTCTTTTCTCTACCTCTCCTTAATCCTTTCCTCTCATGGCCTTGCATTTTTCTCATTTCCCATTCCCCAACATTTCTGAACCTGCATGTTTCAAAGCTGTGCCCCAATCTGGCTGTTCTGTGCATGGAATGTTTTGCACATTCCTAGAATTTATCTGCTGAACAAAAATATGAAACTATATCATCTATACTACATATGCTATATCACTCTGTATGTTTTTAAAAGGACTTGGGACACAGGAGTTTTTCTTTTTACTGTAAGAACAGCCTTGCTTGATCACCTCAAAGCCCAGTTTAGTCCAGCATTATCTATTGTAATGTGTTGTGTTTTATTCATTTCATTTCATTTCACTTCACTGGTTACACTTAACACTATTCAGGTAGCAATTGTAGCATTCCCTCCCCCATTAAGTAGGTTGGGCTGAGAGCGAATGACTGGCACCAAGTCCCTCAGTAATCTTCCATGGCTGAGTATGGATTTGAATTTGGTCTCCCTGATCCTAATTCAGTACCTTATTTACTATACCACATTGACTCTCCATTTTGTTTTTCACAGTGGCCAACCAGATTGCTGTGGAATACTT